TGGGGAGCACTGTTTTTAAATCAGCATGATTAAAGTCCCCCACTATAATATGCACAAAAATACACACAAAATCATCCATACCATGCACTGAAAAGGACAGCAACCAGCCGCAGCATCTGCATGCGCAGCCATCTTGGGTGGAAATTTGAATATACTCCAACCTATACTGTCTTGAATATACTCCAACCTTGCATCTTTCTTATGGGCCACCTAATAGAGCCTGAGTTGGCAAATAATGTCTGAGAGGAGGGCTGGAAGTTGTTTTAAGTATTACTCTTTGAAAACACAGGAGTATCTTCAGTTAATATACTAAGCCCTGAATGGAAACATTTTTGATACAGATAGTCCTTGTTTAGAGACTGCCTCATTTAGCAGCCATTCACAGTTACAATGGTGATAAAAAGTAACTTTGTGACCAATCCTCATATTTACAACCTTTGTAGGTCTATAAAGCAAAGGAAAGCTGAAAGCATCAGCACAATTGTGGTTTCACTTAGCAACCGCTTTGCTTAATGATCGAGTTGTGGGTCCCATTTGTGTGATGGAATGGAATTATGAAGGCCAGGCTCAGGGAGATAAACATTTTCATGATGTCAGGCCTAACCCAAGGAACTCCAAGAGACAATGCCAGTTCAGTCCAGCTATGTTTATTAGCTACAACCTCTAGCAAGAATCTCCCCAGACTAAACCCCCAGTCCCAAAAGTCTTCCAGCCACAACAGTATGAATTCCTCAGGGAGGTGCCAGTCTAATCCTCTTGTTCCTCCCACGCTGTTCTGGCGAGCTAAGAAAATGTTTATCTGGCCTTCATAATTCCATTCCATCACAGTTTGTGGTCGCTAAACGAGGACTACCTGGTATTTGCCAATAAGAAAAGATGTTGATGTATTGTGAAGCACCTTATCAAAACATTCTTTTTACCTCTTTATTTTCCCTAAACAGATAATTGCTGAAAAAACAACTCATGGGAATAAGCCTGCAGTGAGAGAAATGCTGTATAGGATAGTACAGAAGAAAGAATGGTTCTCGCCCTTTCTAGAAGCCCTACGTGAAGCTGGTCATGAAAACATGGCTGCTTACATAAGTGGACACAGAAATGGTAATAATATAATTTCATGAGTTTCAGTGCACAGTCATATTTTGATACTGATGGTGGTGATATCAGTTTGTATACTGATGGTACACTTTTGTTGCTTGTCTCCTAAGTGAGATTTGCTCCATAGAACTGCCATTTAAAAGTACCAGTTTAGGGTTCTGCTGAGAAGATAGTTGTGCCCATAAGTTTACATACCCCTTGAAGAATTTGTAAGATGTGGGCCATTTTGTAAGTAAATATGAGGGATCAGACAAAACACTTTTTTTATTTGTAATGTGATTCAAATTAAACTATTAGTCATCACAGAATAGCACAGTCATTAAACAAACTATAACAATAAAGGAAATAATTCTGCCAAGGATATGTAAACTTACAAGCACAACTGTATGTTTCAAATATACATTAATTGGCTTAAATTTTGAACAGGAAAGGAATTGAGCAGTCCTGTACTCATGGTACATGGAATCAATCTGACCTACAGTTACTTCTGTATACAGGTAGTTCTTGATTTACGATGGTAATTGGGACTGGAATTTCCATCACTAAGCGATGCAGTCGTAAAGCACAATGTCACGTGATTGCATCGCTTAGGGATGGCAATCCCAGCACTCCTCATTGCTGTCATTAACCTAATTTCATTATCATTAGCCAAGGACCTACCCCAATCCAAGCCATTCCAAGCTTGGTCCCTCCCAGCCCCAAGCCTCAGTTCTTCCAAGGTAAGGGACTACCTCCTCTTCAGCTCCCCCCATCTGCCTATCTCCCCCCTATCTCTGCCCTTTTGGCTGACCTGCACTGGGGCCACTTGTCACACTGCAACTCAGGGGCTTCTTGGCCCTAAAGCTCAGGGGTTGCAAGAAGCCCCTGAGCTTTAGGATGAAGCCACAGCTGCTCCAGCAGTGTGGCACAAAGCTTCAGTGCTCCAGGAAGCCCCAGCAGTGCAAAGCTGCAGTGTGCCAGCCCAGTCCCAGCTGCAGTTGCCCTCGCCACCCTTCGCTCCACCACCCCAGCTGACCTTTGCCGTCTTCTTGCTCCCGCTGCTGATGAGGCATGCCCGCCCTGGCCCTTTGCAAGGCAGTTGCTGGCCACGTGAGGCCATCTTCCCCAGGTCTCTCAAGGACGTGCACAATGAAGAGAAGAAAGGCTCATGTGGCTCTTAAGGATCCTTCATACCTTTTATTTGGGTGCATTTATAAATAAGGACAGCCGTTGACAGAAGGAAGTTCTGATCATAAAACTCCAAGATTTCTTTCAGTTTGGTCCTTCAAGAGGGCCCCCTTCCCAAATTTATGTTAGAAACTGAAGGCCATCAGTTTTATGCGTGACATTACATTTTCTATTTCATTAACTGAACAGTTATTTAAATGAATAAACTTCAGTTATGGATTGCAATTTTTTATTTTGGTTGAACAGAACAAGACATAAATGGAGCCTCTGATTTGTCAGATGAAATGTATGAGGCACCCAGTTCTGAAGGTGTGGAGGATCTGAAGCCAAGAACTGAATTACAAGCAGCTCTGGAGGGTGAGAAGAATATATCAGAAAAATCATTTGAAGATTTTCCTGCAATTTCAGGTGATTTGCTAGCTACCAGTGTTTTTACACATAATTTGTGCAACCGATCAGTAATATTGTAAATGTGGGTGTCATTACATATATGACACACTAGATGGCATTCAGGGTTCTAGAAGTATTTTTAATATTGAATTAAACAAGCCAAAAAGTTTTCCCCCAATTTAATATTTTGGGAGGACAGCACGCACTTGTTGTTCAATCGTTAAGTCATGTCTGACTCTTTGTGACCCCATGAACCATATTGCGCCAGGCCTTCCTATCCTTCACTGCCTCCCT